GTGGTCTTTTGATGATAATTTATTTTAAAGCCCCAGATCAGTTGATAGATGTGACTGAAATTAATTATTTTAATTGTGAATGCACATCTTTGAATTCAAGGAAGTAAATTAACTCCAGAAAGGTGCTGATACTATCATTTGAATATGGATGCCTTGACACTTTCATTGTGCTAGAGTACTATTTAGCACTGAAGTAGTCAGTTTTGTTTAAAGTGGAAAGAAAATTTAATTATTTTCTTTAACCATAAAATGTTAAAAAAAAAATCAGTTCCAGTCCCTAAGAATGCAATAGGGGAGCATCCCATGTTGATAATAAGGAAATGTTTTGGTGTATGTTATGATTACCTGAGGATCAACAGGGTTGTTCAGACAAATCTACCTTAAAAGCATGAATGTTTTGTGGGTCACACACCCTGAGATGGGGTGTGAATTTTGCAAGGCTAGCTGAAGGCTAGTAGGTTTTTGCTGCACAGTTTTACTTGTCACAGGACCTAACTGGGAAGTGATAAACCACATCAATAGTTTAGATTTCTACCCCTGTGTCACGAAAGTGCTCTTTCAAGTAGGCTACTTTAGTAAGCCCTTGCAGTTGTCTTTCAAAACCTTTTTGATTTTTTTTTTTCCCATGTCATTGAATTACGAACTTCACAGCAAGACATTTTTAACTTATTTGTGTTTCATGCTTCTCAGGTACTTGCTCACATACAGCTGAAGAAGTTGAATTTTTTTTTTGGTATGATTGTGGAGTTGTGCATTTGAATCTATTCCTGTATTGTTTAATATAATACTTTGAATTCTAAAATATTAAGAAGTCATTAATTCTGAATTTTAATAGAATCATTGTTGAGGCCATAATTGCAAAAGCAAAATAATTTAGGGATAACAGCACTTTGCTTAGTATTGTTCTTTTTAAGTTAAACCGCTTTTTTTAAGCGAAAACCAATGTTACGCTTTTTTCAATTATCTTGTCTCATCACAGGTAGAAATGGGTGGGACGGTCAGTTCTGAAAATTGGTGGCACAGCCATTAACGATGCACAAATATTAGTGGTTAACAAAAGTCACTGGTGTGACTCACCCCATCACTGTGAACCCTCCACTGAGTAATGTTTTAGTAGCCATACTCTTAAGTATGGGATTGTGCAAATGAAAATTGATTAGGATGATACTAAAACCTTATTAAAAGGTGCATGATAATGGAGGTATAAAGAGGGTGAGTCTGTTCATAAATATACATGGGACTACTGCAAATAATTAATAAACGTGGGGGGGGAAAAGGTAGCATCTGCATTATAATATCATACATAATTCAAAGGAATTTTGGTTACTCATTGATAGGCATGTTTAAAATCAACCTTTGAAAACCAGTGAGTTCAGAAACAGCATAATAGCAAAAAATATGTGGAATAATAGTTCCTACAGACCTGGTCTGATGCTAAAAATAATAAATATCAAAGATCACAATGGCAAAGCTGTCCAAAACCAACAGTTTTTTTCATCACTGCTTTGATGAGTAGAACTTAGTGGAAGGAGGACCCAACAGCAGAATGCCTTTCCTGGAGCTTGAGAAAATGTCCTGTGATTTCCGGACATCTAATATGCAGATAGAGAATAAATAATCATCTCCTGCTCCTATGAATAACTTGCTGTGAGCAACAGGAATGCTGTTTCTTTTTTTATATGATCACATCTCATCAAGACATAGATTGCTATAATTTTCATGTTTTTTGCATTTTTATCTTCCAAATAGAAAACCAAGTAAGTTCTAAAGTTTGAGTTTCCCCTCTGAATGAACACACACATTTTCAGTGTATGTTAAGAAGCAGTATGTGACTGCAATGTTTGTTCAAATGGAACAATGATTTAAAAAAAAAAAAAAAAAAAAAAGCTGTCCTGCAGAAAAGATGTGAAGAAAATGCATGGCTCGTAACCTTAATATGAGTCAATAGCCTTAAACAGCAAGGCAAAACCAGATACCATACTGGGATTGTATAAAGTGGAAGATGCTGTGCAAGGCATGTAAAATGATCCCTCTGCTGTATTTAGCATTAGCGAAGCCTCAGCAGGAGCAGTGGGTAATTTGAAGCACTTGAGTTCAAGCAAATAGGTGGCCCAAGGCAGAACAGCTAGAGGGAAGCAACAAGAATGATCGTACATCTAGAAAAAATAACCCACTAGGAAACACCGAGCAGAAGAGAGTTCTTTTAATCTAGGTGATAGGACTGAAGAGAGACATAGATCTTCAGAAGTGTAAGAAGTCCTTGCAGTGAAGGAGTGGTTGTCTACTCTTTCTGCTGATGTATAAGAGAAAAGGTAATAGGAGTAACCTCATTTGTTGCATTAGAAGCAAAGGAAAAACACTGCGATAGAGAAGGATGAAAGAGAAAAGATTGCCTGGGAATTGTGCAGCCTTCATGATCAGAGACTTTAGGATCAGGGTGAACAGAGAGCGGTATCTTCTGTCAAGTCAGGCAGATGGAAGAAGGTGACTGCCTGAAGTTCTTCATAGATGTATGAACCTGTCGGTATAGCCTCTGGTTTTTTTAGCTCCTTTATTTGAAGTTAGCCTGCTTCTTAAGATTTCTGTTTGCGCTTTGCAAATAATGATTAGATTAGAAGTACCTAAAAATATTTCAGTGAGGATCTTTGTTCTCTCTTCAGTAGTAATAGCGATTAAATGCACACGATGAGGATTTGTCTAGAAATCACACAAGGAGTCCTACAAAGCCGGATCTAGGACAAGATAAGATTTAGTGCTGTGCCATGGTCCATGAGAATGAATTATTCCCCTGCTGCTGAGGTGGGCTGTTGCGGGGGGAAGAGTGATTCTTCTTAAACTTCCTTCTATGGGGTTGTCAGAAAGTTGTTTTGATGGTCTCTGAATTACTCAGCTGTACATCGCTGCATGGCTCCTCACATTCAGTTTAGGATCATAACAGCTTTCTCATTTGCATTTGTCTGGCACGAGCGAATTGTTTTACTTGAAAGCAAAAGTAAATATGCCTCTATTAGAACAAAAATGAGTGACTTGAAAAAGTTGATCACTTGTAGTTATAAAAAAAAGATAGCTGTAGTAGTATGTATGTAGTAGTGTGTTTTCAGAACACAATATAAAAATCACTGAAAGATTTTTCTTCACTTGCTCAGCACAAGTGATTTGAATAAGCACTTTAAACTTTCTTTTTCTCTGGATAATTAAAATTAAACTGAAATTTAACAAATTAAACTGAAGTTTGTTCGGATTTCTCCCTTCTGTTTCTAATGACTGCTTATTTTTCTTGGCAAATAAATTTCTAATATGTAATGAGTTGCCCAAAGAGACAAATCTAGTGAGGATTTTTTTTTCTCCACATGGTGGACTTGAGTCAAAGATACCTAACAACAATCTCTGACCCACGTTTTGACTTTTGTTAGTGGACTTGAATGTTTTTCAGTCCTGAAAATGCTTATGTTTTAGGAACGCCAGTACTGTCCCTATACTGCTTTGTGGTAGATACTCTGCTATTGAATTTAAATACTGATTAATGGTCTTGTTTGGAAAATTCTTTCAACTAACGATGTTGTTCCAGGCTACTAATGCAATGATTTTAGGAATGGGAACCTTCAGAATAAGACCTCTGATTTTAAATTTAATTTTTTAAACCTTTAATTGTGATGTTCTATCTCTTTACAGTGATGTGACTATGTTTTTGTCTGTAGTAAGAATCTTCTGTTTCAAACAGAGCTGTTTCAGTGAAGGGCCTTTGACTCTAGGAAGAGGTGAACTGCTGTGAATGGTTATTCCAGATCGACTGAGGCTTTTTTTTATTTTGCAGCTTTAGAAGACTCCTACACGGATTTCTAAATTGTCTGTATCTTTAAACGTTTTCTGTAAATCCTGAGAGGAAAAAAAATCTGAGTGTGACTCAAGCTGTAGCTACTTATTTTGCTAACCAGTACTGTCTCATCTCTTTGTGCTTTCTCTTCTCCTCTGTACCTACCTTGAACCTAGGGTAGAAGATCTTTGGGGCAGGAATTGTTACCCACTGCTGTGCTGATTAATCATCTGGCATAATGGAGTCTTTGTGTGAATATGGCTCCTTATCCCTATCAAAATTCAAATAGTAAAATATTCTAAGGTAAAAACATCATGAGGAAGTTACGAGCATTTTTGTAGAGTATTATCAACCTGTGAAAATGCAGGGAGAGAAATTATACTTTAGGTCAGTGTATTATTTATCTGAAAATTTTGGTGCCTGTGTAATGTATCGTGAACTGTACTCAAAAATATTAATTAGGCATGTAGCTTATTAACATCCCAGATATATTGAAGCAGCTTTTTTAAAAGATATGCATATTTTCTCTTTGAGTCACAGCGTAGCAATAGAATGGTTTATGTGGTGAAATGATGTTTTCTTACCTAGCAGTTTGAATTGCTTTAAACTTCAACATTAACTCTGAATTTAAAGATTTATGCTGCTTGTTTATTTCTAGGACTTTTCTAGAAACAATCAAAATTGAATGCTTTGAGTTGTGTGCCCACATGCAGCGTTTGTTTATGTTGAAGCAATACTTACCTGGAGCGTATGGCTTTATTAAAGAAAACAAAACGGGGTGGTGGTGGTGTGGGATGCAAGTTCTTCTGCATATCACTGAGCTAATGCAGCACAAGTTGGATCTGTTGTTATTGCTGTTGGAAGGATAATGGGATATATCTTACCTCTTTGATCACAGTCAAGCTATGGCATTTTCTTCTGTCTTTAACCTGCTCTCAGAGAAGAGATGCAGCACCTCAAATTCCTTTTACATATTTTGTATGTGGATTGTACAGTTTCAGAAATCCGTGTTGGAGCCTTTCATAAGCAGTAGTAACTAAGTTTCTCAAGGAAATTTTTTGCTGGATTATTTTTTTTGCACCTTGTTTTTACACAATATGAATTACTACTAGATTGATATCAAATTGTGGTCTTTTGTCTCTTTGAATGTGTTTACACCAGAGCATGATAGATTCAGGAAGACTTGAGAATTTCCCGGAATACGTGTTTGGTAAATCATACTATGATATTAGGATTTATTATATTAACTTTTAGGTAGCCTAAACTATCTTGCTGGGCTACTTTTTTCTTCAGATCAATTTAAACTGGGAAATCAGAGCAAGAGCTGTAACTCAGCCTTGTTATAATTCTTACGGTTCACAATTGAATAGGAGCCTCTGTTTTGTCCAGGATTTACAGTACGAGTGAGTATCTAAATCATTCCATTTCAAAACAAGTCTAGCATAAATTTTCAGCTTTAGTTGTGAATTTCCTGACTTTTTTCCCCTCAAAATAAACACTGCAGGTTTGATTTATATAAACAGTGTTAGCATTTGAGGAATCTTCTGACTGCAGATGCGGAGACTGGATTATGAGAAACAGGACGGCAGAAAATGTAGGATTAAGAAGTGAGTGGTTATGTTTCTAACCAGTTGAACTCTAGCTCAATTTTTTAACTCTCCACCCTAGTAAAAGAAAGAAAGGGAAGGTGGAGAGAAAAATAATATAAAAGCAATGCTTTCCAGTTTTGCAGCTGTCTGAATTGATACACGCTTGTAAATAGGAATAATTCAGATGATTTTTTTCTCCAATATAGAATGATGTGGTAATGTTTAATCTGCATCTCACTCAGGTATTTTTCTTCATGTAAAATGTGTCTGCAAACGTGCCGAATGACCCTGGGCAAAACATGTTGTAGAGCTGGCTTCCCATCCCTGTGCTGGGGGTGCAGGGTGGTGGGCAGCAATGGGACTGCCTCCCGCCAAAAGGATCTAGGGCGATTTTGGTAGAAATCTTGGCGGCTCAGCGACTGCCAGTTCATGTGGGTTGAGGACAGACACCAAGGTGTCAGTTAGGGAGCATGGTGCTGGAGCACAGAAGCACCGAAAAGAAACGTGAGGAAGATGCAGTCAGGGAGAGCCTGTGTCTGGGTCCTTACACAGCTTTACCGTGACAGAGAAACTTGTCATTTTTATCAAAACAAAGTTGGTTTAAAACTGGCAAAACAAAGCTTAACTAACTTTTCAGAGACTAATGTTTAGGTTTATCGTGGTATATGTATTGTATATTTATTTTTTTTTCCACAGAAACCTGCTAATATTTTAGTTATGGGTGAAGGTCCTGAGCGAGGAAGAGTAAAAATTGGTATGTTTATATCTTTGATAAGTCCCAGTGTAGCATTTAAGTTAGAATGTTCTGAAGGTGCAGTGGTACCACCTAAAGTAGTCACTGTAATACTAGTATGTGCCTGGGCACATTGCCTAAATGCTGTTTTCTGAGTGACTGGCTTCTTGATATTAGCCCCATGCACCAGTTCTGACAATGAAATGCTGTAGCCTCATCAATGAAAAGTGGAAAATGTCATTGTATTTTGTTTAAGTGGGTGTTTGTGTGGGGTGGGGGATTTTGATATGGGGATAAAGGTGAGAGCTAGCTAGGGGAAAGGAGGAGAAAGAAATGGGATTTTAAAATTTCCTCCATTTACCTCTGTAATGCCATGACATTATCTTGCTGCTGCTTACAAAATCTAAATAGGGAACTACTCATTACTACAAAACTTAAATTTTATAATGGAATCAAGGGTGGCATTTAGCCTACAAAATGTTCTTGAAAGGGTAGACAGGTCCCTTGGAGATAAACGCAAGGGATCTTAAAGTCCAGAAAACACAGTAATCCAGCCAAAATGCTTAGTGAGAACTACGGCTAAATGCTCAAACTGGGGTGTACCAGGGTAAGAAGGACCCAACACTTTCCCCACTATTGTAACATTTTCTGATGGGAGTTACTGTTCACAGTGAGAGGATAATTTGTAGAACATAAGTTGTTTTAAATTAAAGTAAATAAATAAATAAAAATTAACTGTAGTCTAACACCAATAAGCTATACCACGCTGTGCATTAGTGTGGCAGTTCTTTGATAGCAGACTGCTAAATGCACAGCCTACTCATATTTGTTATGGTAATGCAGCCCCGTTTGGAAGGGTTTTTTTAAAGCTAGTTTATCTTTTTCACTTCCCTCTGGCTTTCTTTATGAGATTATTCTTCTGCATTGTTGCTCTGTACTCTTACTGTTTTGTTTATCTGAACTATATTGTTAATCACTAGTATAATGATTCGGGGTAGGATTTTCTTGGAGCGTTCAGTGCTGCTCTTGTCCTTCCTTCGCCCTTCGAAATCCAAGGAGCAGACGGGCCAGGGCTGAACACTTCTGCAGATCCGACCCTGAAAGTTTTTAATGCCCTTCCAAGGTTTAAGGTTGACAGTAGAGATTGAGGTCTTCTCCGTACAAAACAGGTACAGCATGGACAGCGGAAGGGAAAATTTCTTCCTATTACCTTATTCTTCACGGAGCGGTTGCTTCCAAAATTGAGAATGTAGGTCGTCCTCTGGGCACGTTCACGTTCAACTGTGGTGGTGATATTTGCTGTACACGACTACTTGCTAGTAATTGCACATAGACCACCCATTTATTTCTTAATTTATAGTTCTGAATTAATTTGGGAATAAATTAGAGCACAACTAAATTTAGTCAGACTCTGTTAATGGACAGGTGAAAGATTCTGTATCGGACCACCAGTCCTCTGAGCCATCCGTTCCCAGCGGGGGAAGAGGGAGGGGAACCCTGGAGTTCTAAGTGTGTTATCAAAATGTAGATACTTTTTTTTCTTATTTTCGTAAGATGTTACCACAGCAGGAGAAGAATGCAATAGTTATACCCATACCAAGGGCTTCCACTTTTCCAGTGTAACTAATCTTTCTAAAAAATACATAACTGGTATTTAACTTAAAATAATTTTTGTAGGCTTTTTGTGTCATTTTGAGTCATAAATTCACTTTCTGCCAACAATTTTCCTTATTTTTCATAGTTACTAGTGACTTGATCATATCTTGAGTAATCGATATTTTAATGTAGAAAACTGTAAAATGTTTCTCTTTTTAAATGCATTAAAACCAATCATAAATAGGAATGCATATGAAAAAAAATTATTAAGGATTGTGTAGTCAAGTTAGAGACCCATATTTACACTGCAGTTTTCCCTCAACCAGTGAGTTGTAGCGTGTAGGTCCTTTTCCCTCAGAATGGCTACTCATCTCATTTCATTCGAGTCTTTTTCAGCATGTGTATATCCCTGCACCACAGAGTCCCTCTTTCTTGGGATTTGGGGAGTGGTGGGTTGGGAAAGTGATTTGGTGGGAGAAGGTGCATATTTTAGTCTCTACCCATTTTTTTCCTGTGTAACTTATATTGGTAGTTCAGACAGCTTTATAGGCAGTTGTATACCACCAATTCTAAACAGCAGTTTTTAATGATATAATGCCCCCAGACAGAATTTTAAAATTGTAGCCTAAATGGTATTTAGTACTGGTATCTTGATACTGGAAATATGTCTTGACAGAAAATTAGCAGGGAGGCAGATGCTGTAGGCTTAGTTGCTTTTTTTGTGTGAAGGAAATCTTGCTACAGCTAACTTCATAAGGAGGGAGCTTTTGTGATGTGCATGTATGTATTATAAATCATTCTAACCTTTGCAGAACTTGCATTTTGCTCACATTTAAAACACTGCTTCTTGAAAGACCATCCTGTAATGATGGAATATTTTACCGGACAATATCAGGTAAAATGAGTCAGGATTTACCAGTGTCCTGAGAGAAGTGAGTTGATGCGCTTTTTCAGAACAATGGTTAATTCTTTGTTCTAAATGGCTCACGTTAGTAATGATTTATAATGATATACTTTATAGGTGATGACATCCAGTAACTTCTACAAAAGCTTTAAGAAAATCTACTCACAGAATTCATATCTGCTACAGTCTGCGTTTGTGTTTTATTTAGCACAGTGATGATAGCGCTAACAAGTAAACCCAATCAGTTCATTTAAAAAAATATAATTGGTAGTTTTCCTAAAATTTTAAAGCATCTCTCTTTGAATTTTGCAGCTGACATGGGCTTTGCCCGATTATTTAATTCACCTCTGAAGCCTTTAGCAGACTTGGATCCAGTAGTTGTAACGTTCTGGTATCGAGCTCCAGAGTTGCTTCTTGGAGCAAGGCATTATACCAAAGCTATTGGTAAGTAAATTGGATAAAAATTTACTGTTTTGTTCTTCGTGCAAAGTGTACCCAAATATTGAAGCATTGACAAATAGTACAAAGGACAGTAGCTGAGTTAAAGGTACGTTACTGATTCTTGAGGAAATACTAAACTTTGACAAATTGTTTAGTTTACTGTGGTCTCTGGCTAGATACAGGAATGAAATATTTCTGGGTTTTGGCTCCAAATGCCCTGTGATGCAATAGAATTTTATATGGCTTTCACACAAGATTTTCATAAACGCTGTTAGAGGCTGTACAAAATACAGATGCATCTTCGAATTATTAGTAGAATCCATATGATGATGATGAGGCACAGTGCATTAATTTTATTGCAGAGGCTTTTACCTAGTATAATAAATACGTGAAATAAGGAACATACAGAATAGAGAATATATTGGCTGCACTGAAACTAAACTGTAAAAATAAGCTGCATTTTAGCCTCTCTCTGTGTCTTTTTCAAAGCACGAGTGTGAACAGGAATTGCTTGAACTAGCGCGATGTCATCAGGGCAACGCAACAGGCTAAGCTGTGATGCTGCATCAGGCATATCCAGGAAGAACGAAGCCTCACCGAATGCAGGCACTGTGACCATGGCATTAGTTATATCAGCTTAATGTTGCATCCTCCTCACCACTTAACTCATACATACTGGTCTGAATTTTAACGCCTTTGGCATGGCGCGGTTGACTCGCTCTGCCAGTCTCTGCTCTTGCCAGTTCGGGGGTAAGGGATCGCTGACAGCAGGAGCAGTTGCGTTCTGTGACTGTAGGAGAGGGGGAATAGCCCAGTAGCAGGCTGGAGGGAGGTTCTCCTTTAGTGGATGTGAACAGCTTTGCCATGGAAGGGAAGGAGACTGTAGGAGAGAGGACTGGGAAGTTTTTCTCTTGCTGGCTGGTTTAAAAGATATGTTAAAGCCTGGCAACCATTTTTGGGGAAATAACTTCCCCTGCAACACTCCGCTTACTTTGCATGAACGTGGAGGTTGTACATTGGCATACGTGGTGTTGTTTCTGTAACCTGAAATTCTTTCCTCAGACCTTCGCCATTATTTTTTTAAAATCCTGTCAGTGTTTTTGTCAGAAGTTCTAATGTTTATGACTTAAATGTCTTTTCATTTACTTTTCTGTTAATACTACATTTCTTTTACGGATTAAATACACTTCTTTATATGTTTCTTTCTATGTTCCATGTATTTGCATGCTCCTTCACTTTACTGGCATTTTCTTCTGCTTGCAGCATGTGAAACTGCATGGATGGTCATAGCCATAATTTTTTTTCAGCATAGATAAAAACTGACTGTATACAAGCACTGAGTAATGGGGTTATGCTTTCTGCATCATTTGCTTTTGTCCTTGTTCATGACCTTTTCTTGTTCATTCAAGGTTAAGTGTAGCATTACTTTATGTAAGTTAAAAATTGCATTATGTATATACTAGAAAAAAATCGGGAAAACAATTGGGAAAATTCAGGCTATCTGATTTTGCAGATTGGGACACAACAGTTAAAACAGAAAGGGGTGGGTTTTTTTTTTCTTTAAATGAATGTCATCAGAAAAAGGGGTGAGGTACATGTGCATGGAGTGATTTTCTTGTTACTCTCTTTCCTCATTTGGCTTATTCCGATATTGCTGCTTTTCAACTTGTATTTTTGGGGTCATTCAATACTTATTAAACCCAGTGGCTGATCAGAGAGGGCACATTTCTTGGCGGGGACAGTATGGCAGTAAATGGCAATATGTTGGTTGGCTTTTCTTCATTTGTATTTTATGCGTGAACACTTACCAAAATAGTTTCCTTTGTTTCTTTTCTTAATCAAATAAATTTTTTACAGCAATAAATGGTAACTACACTTAAAAAACCCCACAAAAACTTGTATGATACTCTCTCCGCTCCTGTGTAGTTACTGAATTGTGTACCTCTATCTGTAGCTGAAAGGAAAAATCGAGGAAGTGTTGCACTTCTACAATAGAAGCTTGAAATTTTCAATGCAGGGACCTTATCTCTGATAAGCTAAAAACTAACATTCTACCCTACCATGATGCTTTTGGAAAGATTAATTTGATTTTTTTAAAATTTCTTCTCTCCTTTTTTAAAGATATTTGGGCCATAGGGTGTATATTTGCAGAGCTGCTAACATCAGAGCCAATATTCCATTGTCGACAAGAAGATATCAAAACTAGTAATCCTTATCACCATGACCAGCTGGACAGAATATTCAATGTAATGGGATTTCCTGCAGGTACATACTGTATTTTTTTTATCACTACTATTCAAAGAAACATATCTGTATTGCTTTCTTTGCATATGATGGTGGCAGCTGATCAAAGCAACAAAGCTGTTCAAACACAATCTTTATTTCATGAGTTACAAATCTAGAATCTAATGGTCATATTAGATATTTTTCCTTTTATTAATGATAGGATTATCTTTGCATATACACGTACCAATGTTTTATAATTTTAAAAGGTCATGTTTAATGGTGGATGAATAAAAATCAGAAGGAATATTTCTGCATTTCTTCAGTACTGATTATAGATTTGGAAAGCGACTGATGATTGTATGAAACCAAGAAAAATCTATACATTTAGTGAATATTACGCAGGTGTTTAACTCATGCTAAATTAAATATAGCATTTGGAAGTAGGGGAGGATTCCTGCCCCCCCCGCCCCGGTAGAAAGCTTGTGATATGGAGAAAATTTCTTTATTCGGAACTGGAACAAACCGGTTGCATGAACCAAAACAGTGTGGATATCACTTGTTGCATTTTCTCCTCAGTGTTGGTCATATCTTGTTTTTCTACAGGCTGTCTTGCATTTTTTCAGTTAATGCTTTGTCTGCTAGTGTTCACATGATTGCCGATGTCAGAATAAAGGGGCCTTATTTTTACTTTTTGGTCATCTTTTTCCTCACTGCTTGTGATCCCTGCTGTTGTCCATTCACTATTAATAATCTTTTTCTTTACTGTTCTGCTGGAGTTTCTTCTTCCTATCACAAGAATTTTGTGATCTTTATGTTTGTGTGGTTCTAGAATTTTGTTATTAAATTCACTGTTATTTTTCCCTTTTGACTTTTTTTTGTCTTGTGTGTACTTCATTGCTTCTATACTGCTGTATGAGATTCCTGGAAGGAATATGCCTTTGCATATTAAGTAGTTTTATTTTCTTGAAAAATCCCCTTTAATTTTGCTTCTTTAAGCAATACTGTCCTTTTCTGCTTTTAGCCTAGAATTTTACCCTTTTCTTATGCTTTTCTTACTTCATTTGGGTTTTACATTGTCTTTGTGTAGCTTACATAAATAGATGATACTCTCATTATTGTTTTCTGATTGGTTTAAATAATCCTTTCTAATGGTCTGCATTTGATTTTTGAAGGTCTTTCGTTCTTACCAAGAATTACTATCTTTCATTTAATTGCAGCAAATTTTTTGCTTTTTAATTTACTCTTGCCATATTTGAAACTGTTTCACATGTCTTTGGGATAGGGGATAGGGAAGGAGAAGAATCTTTTATTTAAAGAAATAATAATTAAATAATTAATCTCTGATTTATTTATTCACTTAGTATTTTTAATCATAGAATCATTAAGGTTGGAAA